ACGGATGGAAAAATCCACCGCGAGGATGCTGACACTCGAGTAATCTGGCTGCAAGCAAGGCCCGGAGGGAAGAGAATGCAGGGAGGCATGTGTATGGATGCAGACTGCTGGGAGGAACAGGCGGGGCTAGGCGGGTGCGGGATTAGGGGGCTACGGGAGGGAGGGTGGCAGCAGTGGGTTGAAGCCATGAGCACCACGGGAGAACATCCCCCAAAAGGTGAGGGAATCAGCAAAGACTGACTTCGCCAAGGCTGGATCTTGGCTTTGGTGTTTGTTGTTTATTTTATTTTATTTTTTGAGATAGGGTCTGGCTCTGTCCCCCAGGCTGGAGTGCAGTGGCTGGATCTCCGCTCACTGCAAGCCCCGCCTCCCGGGTTCACGCCATTCTCCTGCCTCAGCCTCCTGAGTAGCTGAGACTACAGGCGCCCGCCACCGCACCCGGCTAATTTTTTGTATTTTTTTAGTAGAGACAGGGGTTTCACCGTGGTCTCGATCTCCTGACCTTGTGATCCGCCTGCCTCGGCCTCCCAAAGTGCTGAGATTACAGCTGTGAGCCACTGTGCCCGGCCTAATTTTTGTTTTTTTTTTTTGTTTTTTTAAGAGACAAGGTCTCCTTCTGTCATCCAGGCTAGAGTGCAGGGGTGCAATCGTAGCTCACTGCAGCATCGACCTCCTGGCCTCAAGTGATCCTCCTGCCTTGGCCTCCCAAAGTGCCAGGATTATGGGTGTCAGCCACCATGCCCAGCCTGTTTTAATTCTTTTTGAGGACAATTCCCTCCATTGCGTTGAGTCGTTAAGTGCTGGGTATTTTTGAATGTTCCACATTTGAACATTTCCCCCAATTTTTCAACCGTGAATAAATGCAGAACGAGGCGGCTGACACTCAAAGTGGGGACGGTCCTGAAGCTGCATCCACAGTGTGGCCAACAGGATGTGTGAAAAATAACTATTTCTGGAGAAAACGTCTCAAGACTTGAGCAGAATTCATTCTGGAATCGTTCCTTCCAGTGGAAGAGCACCATCCAGCCTTGGATGATGTCATCAGTTGCTGGGCATCCCTTGCAGTTTGGGGCATAAGACTGTAAGCTCCGTGCAGTCAGGGACCGTGCCAGCCTCTTTTTCCCCAGGGCCTGACACAACTCCTGGCCCTACGCAGGGGCTCTGTGAACAGCGCATGAATGAATGAACGCAGGACCTGCCAGAGCACCGTCCCAGTCACCGTCTGGGCTTTGATTCAAAGCAAGACATATTTTTTAAGTAAAAAAAAAAAGCCACTATAAATGGAGGGTCATGCCTGAAAAACAGGTGAAGAGATGAAAGTGTTCTGCGGAGTGTGTCTGAAGTCAAATGCTATTTGTTGAACACTGGAGGAAAAATAATTGCCATACCGCGAAGGGATGTAAATAAGGCCAAGTACACAAAGGAATGATCATTATCTTTATTCATACACACTTGCTTCCAAACTACAATTAATGTTTCTAACAAAGCATATCATGCAAATGGAGATTAGAGGTTATACAAACTGAAAAAAAGCAATGCAGTAATTTATACATCCATCTCCTCTGCCATATAACCAAATGGTGTTTGACGGTTGAATGGCCTCTACATTTTGTCAGCAGGTGCTTATACAGAAGGAAAAACCTCAACCTCCGTCTCTTCCTCCAAACAAAGTTGGGGTCTTATGTGATGTTTTTCAATTAATGATTGAAACGTGGTATGTCCTTCACACACAAAAATCATGTAGCAAAAGCAATGACTTCAAATGCTTCTGTTTATAAAAGATATTCTGAAAGACCCTAACAGAAGGGATGTGAGGTTAATATTTAGAAAACCTTTAGACTCAAAATAGTAACTGTCTTCATGATTGATTTGGAATATTCCAGTAAACCAACCCTTCAAGAAAAGAATTACATTCTTCCAGAAAGAATATCAACAAAAGTCTACAATCACAGGAAGGGATACTCCTAAAGTTAAGCAGAGTTGACAAAGACAGTCGTTTCATCAGAAAATGCAAAGCCGCCTTTTATCTTATTTTAGAAAAAAAGGTTCTTATAAAGTGGACTTGACACCTATTTTCTGAAAAGGAGGGTTCTGTCTACTTGCATAAGCGATAACTATGAAACAGACGTCAATAGGCACGTTTGCTGCTGCCTCTTATATCTTGGGAGATCGAAGTATTTCTGAGTTGCCCAGTGGGCAAAATCCTTACAGGGCATCTCTGAATCTTCACCCAATGTGAGAGACCTGGGGACCAGGGGTGTCTGGGCACAGAGCCAAGGAAGCATCCTCCTCCTGCCAAAAGGTGGCCACAGAGCCTCACGGAGCAAGGAAAGGGGTCCCAGAAATCCCCGGGAGTCCTGTTCCAGGGCTGCCTCTGGATGGGGGACACTAAAAATATCTTTCCTGTGGTTTGGAAGTTTCTAAACCTTAAGCAGTTGTCCCCAGTGTCTATTAAAAACTCGCAGAGCATCAGTCTGCCAACAAGTTTCACCTGAACTTGTAGGTCATTCCCACGTGGACTCCACACCCTAGGAGCATGGGAAAATCTGGCAGTGGGAGAGCAGGTCGGGGGCGCTCCAGCTGACCCAGGCTGAGTCCTCCTACAAGCTCCAGGGGATTGGAATCTTAGGAAATCGTCAGTTGCTTTGTTCTAAAAACTCATTTTTAAAGAATTATTATTAAAGTTCTCTATAAAAAAGTACAAATAGCCCAGTATACTCAGTTGCTATACTGGAATTAACAAATAATTTCTTCCTTTAGGTTAAGAAAAAGTCTTTGGAATTTGTGGGCTTTTGTGTAGGGTCACTGTAAGGCTGTTGGATGGCTGAGTGTGACCTCCACGGTTATTAACTGTCACCTGATCACATAGATGAGGGGCATAGGGGTCAGAATCATTCGTGCTGTTGACCTTCCCGAAGAATCCCAGACACTATGGAATTAACACAATTGTGTTGACCCCATTTCTAGATGGTGGCCTTCATCCATGTGTACATCAGGTAACCTTCCCAATTTTCTGGATCTTCTAACAGCAGAAACAGATAACGTTCCCTAGATCTGCTGTGTCAGCCCGAATGGGAGGAGACAGGAGTGTTGACTGTCCAGTGCATTTCACAACATGGAGCCCAAGCAGCTTAAGGAAAATGACTTTTAAAAAATATTTTGGCTGGGCACGGTGGCTCATGCCTGTAATCCCAGCACTTTGGGAGGCTGAGGTGGGCAGATCATGAGGTCAGGAGTTCAAGACCATTCTGGCCAACATGGTAAAACCCGATCTCTATTAAAAACACAAAAATTAGCTGGGTGTGGCGGCGGGCACCTGCAGTCCCAGTTACTCAGGAGGCTGAGGCAGGAGAATCGCTTGAACCTGGGAGGCGGAAGTTGCAGTGAGCTGAGATCGTGCCACTGCACTCTAGCCTGGGTGACAGAGCAAGACTCTGTCTCAAAAAACAAACAAAACAAAAAACAAACAAAAAACCAAAAATGTCCTGGCCGGGCATGGTGGCTCATGCCTGTAATCCTAGCACTTTGGGAGGCCAAGGCAGGCGAATCACCTGAGGTCAGGAGTTTAAGACCAGCCTGGTCAACGTGGCAAAATCCCATTTTTACTAAAAATACAAAGATCAGCTAGGCATGGTGGGGGGCACCTGTAATCTCAGCTACTTGGGAGACTGAAGCAGGAGAATCGCTTGAACCCGGGAGGCAGAGGTTGCAGTGAGCCGAAATCATGCTACCGCACTCCAGCCTGGGCAACAAGAGTAAAACTCCATCTCAAAAAAATAAAAATAAATTTCGCAACACTCCTTGTCAAATTGGTGTGTGGCCACTAACAGAGCGCCCTTGTCCTTCCTGGTGACTGTCATGCCTATTGCTGTCCTGGTAACTCTCACGATCACAGCCTTTGGGCCCCTGGCTCAGCGTCTGTTTCGTGATTACGATTGTCTGGTGTGCCCAGCAGGGAACATAGGCACTCCTACCCTTGTTGGGTTATAAAGAAAAAGGAAATGGTGTGATGTGTACACACAAGAAATAGGTGACTTCAGAAGACCAAAGTGAGAAAATGACTGTCAGATGGTATCACCTTTCTGAGGCTTCTAAAAATACAAGACTGTCACTTTTTCTCTTTTCAGTACTGAGAAAACAAAAACCAGCAAAACACAAAAACAAAAACCTCTGAAATGTCTCCTGCTAAGTGGAACCAGGTGGGAACTGCAGTGTTAGTTGTGTGGTGTTAGTTGTTAGTTGTGCAGTGTTAGTTGTTTGTATGACTTCTCCATTTATCCTCAGCTGCCATAATTCTTGGCAGGAAGCCAGAGAGGAAAATGGGCAGGAACCTACTGGCCTCTGGGGTATGCTGGATGGTCTGGCTCTGCCCAGAGAACTATGAGCTACTTCAAGGTGGGGAGGGGAAAGGGGCTTCCAGCAGCTGGTGGGGATGTTGTCAGCGTTTGGGGGGTGTTTTCTGAGGAGGAACAGACTGTGTCCCTGGCAAAACACTCTCTTGAGGGCCAGCAGACGGAAACTTCCATCTGCACCAACCACCTCCGATGGGAAGCCGTTGACAGTGGCACCCCTTCCTCTCCCTCCTACTGCAGGCATATTTCTGGATGCACCCAAACCCTGTTCTTCTCTGGCTCCTTCCTGACTGCAGCCCCCGCCTCCCTCTCTCTTCTCAGCACGTCCGTGGGGGTTCTCTGGAAGTCTGCACCCTCCTTCCAGGAAGTCACCACACTCGCCCAAGGACTTTGGTTCACAGAGGTGCTCAACAATCATTTGTTGGGTTAGCCTGAATCTTGGTCTTTCCGGCCAGGCTTCCAAAGCTCTTGGCCCCATGGTTTTCTATTAAAATTCTGAATAAGAAGGTCTAATACGTGGCCTCAGAAAGGGCAGACAGTGGCTCTGCATGGACCACATGAGACCAGGGGATGAAAGGAAGGGGAGCGCTGCTGGAGCAATCATTTTGACTCCTGTGGTTTCCGATCTGCCTTTTGAATTAGTTCTTGCCTGGATGTGGGCCTCGCATTAACCTCGGAGGGTGGCCCCCGGCAGCATTCCAGTGACTTCCTTTCAAAGCCAGCACCTGGTGACCTTCAATTGAAATGCCAAGAGACGGGCTGCCAGCTCATGGCCTGCAGCCTCAGGGAAAGGCTCTGCCACCCAGGAGTGGCCACCTTCCAAGGAAAGAATGCAGCGCCGTTTGAATGGCCTGCTGTGGTCATAGCTCCACGGGTCCCGCGGGGATTTGGACGGTGCTAGCTTCTGCCCGGTGGCCTAGACCTCCGCAGGCCCTGGCAATCAGGTCGTGCTCAGGAGCAAGGACTTCCCAAAGGGTCCCCCAGAGACCTCATGTGTGGCTGTGGCAGTTCCACAGCGCACCCCTCGCCACCATCTCGTTTCACACAATGCCCACGAAGGGGCCAGTACCATAGAATATCACAAACTGATTCCGAGGCGAGCCATTGCCCATGGTTATCTACATGACAGTCCCAACAGTAACAGTCTTGGGCTGCTGAGATCTGTAAAGCCCTAACCATGACCCACATTCAACACTCAGCAATGGATAAAGCAGGTTCCACTGACAACACTGCACCGGGCCTTGATTTTGACTGTTTCCTCCTGGGGGTTTGCTCTGGGGTCTGCTGTCCCTCAGGCAGTGTGCTGGGCACCCCCGTCGGGGCATTTTCTTGGAAAACTTTGCCACACGGTCTGAGAGAATAACAGCCAGCTGAGACGGTGAATGTGTTTCCTAGAGAAACAAACTTGTGGGTGATGGGGCTGCAGGGAAGGCCTGAGCCTGCTGCTTGCTTAAAACACACAGGCCGTTTGGGGTGCTGAACAAGGATCCCTAACCCCATGTGTTCCTCCATGGGACCTTCCTCCTCTCTGGGGGCCTCATGGGGGTCCGTCCTGCTGCTGCTCCATTCTGGGCAGGGGGACCGGCCCTTTTGTCTCCTAGGCTCTTTCTATAAACTAGTCCCTTTCCCCTCGGATCAGAGGACGTGCACCTGGTCAGGACACGAGCCCAGATTGTGCACTGATCCGCAGGGCCGCAAGAACAGGGGAGCCAGGCCACCCTGGAGTCTTGATGTCTATGGTGCATAAAAGATGGCAGAAGAAGTGGCTCTTTTCTGGCCGGGCCCATTCCCTACCCCATCTCTCCTTCTACTCAGGGTTGCCAGGACCACCTGGGCCTCTCACCTCAAAAAGCCTTTCATGGTTGTATGTTCTGCGAACTTCAGGCAAACAGCCAGAGGAGAAAAATAAGGCGAGTTTAGCTGGGAGATGCTTCTGGGAGGAAACAGAGTGGCTCTCTACAAGGACCGACAGCTACTTTCACTCTCTTTCTGTTTGTGGTAGAACCTGGCTCCTCTGAGGACCTTACATGGGGGGTGTCTCACCAAAGCAGCGTGCTCCTCCCAAGGCTGGAAAGGCCAATGCCACAATGGCTGGAAGAAAGTCCGCAGCCTCTGAAAAGCAGGTGCTGGTGCCTGCAGGGCACGGCTGTGTTGGTCTCATGAAGTTTGTGCGTGCTGGAGCAAACGACAGGTCCTTGCAGAGGCAGCAAGACAGCACGCTTCCTGCGGGTCCAGTACACACAGCAAGAGGGGCGTCTCCCCATCCCTCCCACCCCTGGAGTCAGCAACAGTCGCAGGCTGAAGGGAAGAAGGAAACACACACACACGGACACACAAAGGTCAGCCCAGGTGCTGCAGCAACGCCACATGTGCACCAGTGTACTAGGCAGACCGCAATCAGACACTTTCTGTTGTCCCAAAGAGGAAGAGTGGTGGAGGAACTGGGATGAAAGGTGGCATTAAGAAACTAAGAGGGAGTGTCAGCTCAAAAATAGTCCTCACCCATAAAAATTTGTTTGCAGGTAGAATCAAATATATATATATATACACACACACACGTAGTAAGAGCCTAATCTATCATGTAAAGTAGCCATTCATTTTTGAAATTTTATCTACATTTAAAAATTAATCTATCTGATACAGTGCCCATGTGCGGGGAGGGAAAGCACAGAAGCAAGGGATTCAGCTAAAACTTAATTCGAAAAGAGGATCAGAAACAAGAACCTGCACAAATAGAGCACAATTGTGTCTTATAAAATTATTATAATACTCTCTTTATACTTGATACGATTATATCAATAATATAGATTCACTTGTTATTAAGGTTTATTATAAACATGCAAAATTCATTGCATGATGCATTTGCAAAACATATTAAAATCCTTCTAGCAATAAAACATCTTTGAGCTGTTAGGCATCCGGGTTTCCTGATTCTACAGCTCCAGGTGTACTAGAAATGGGAATCAAAACCGTATTATTTTTATCCCTAAGTGGACATCCAGGGCTGGAGAAGGGAGGAAAATCAATCAGCAGGGGCTGATGCTAGATTCAACACTTCCAGTAAGTTACTGTACATCGTACTTTCATAAACGACACTGCAGCCTATTAAATAAATAAGTACAAAAGGGGAGAGGGCGTACACTTCAGCTTCTTGAGAAGGATAACAAGGTAGGCAGCAAAATATTGGTGTGTGTGGGGTGGCTGTTGGCGAACAACACTGGTGAGTAGTGGCATGATTACTGATGGCACCCTGGATTGAAAAATAATCTCTCAGAGATTAAAATGAACGTACATACACACTGGCTTATCCTTGATCTGAAATGATTTCACATGCTTGTTCAGCAACGTCCTTAGACGATTTGGCCTCTTACAAAGAATGAAAGTATCAAGACAGTTATCAGCCAAGGAGGGTACCAGATGACAGATTCACCCAACACTCATCTGAGGTTTTTTTTTGTTTAAACTGGTAACTGCTGGACTATGGTTGGGTTAGGATTTGTCAATGTTTGGGAACAGTGATTAGGTTCATCCTGGCCTTTCAGATTCTAGGGGCCGTTTCCATGGAGGCAGAGAACGGACGCACAGGGTACTTTGAGGCCTCCCCCACCCCCAATCCCTCCCTGCTCACTCTCTTGGCTTCCTGCTCTTGGATTCCAAGACGTCTTGGGTGGAGATGTTTCCAGCCCCCTGGGCTGGGGTAGGCTCACTTTAACATCTCTGGTTGGGGGATTCCGATGGTGAAAAATCCACAGCTGGAGGGTATGGAAAGTATATCAAATTGTACCCACAATGGGGCAACAGTCTGTTTGCTTTCTAGGAAGGGTTAACCTAGAGACAGACGTAACTTCTACAGAATTAAACTGGACACTGTGCATGACGTACCATCTTCCACTAAGATAAAGTTCTTGGTTGTAAGAGAGAGACCCTGAACAGTTAATCACATTTGGACTAATAACCCTACAATTTTCAGGCCTCCATATGGAATCAGACACAAGGCCGTGGCCTTAAAATTTTAGGGTTAAGGATCACTTCCCACCGTGGGGAGGGCTGGGGGCTGGGGAGGCATTTGTTCTCGCTGGTGAGTTTCATACTGCACTCTGTAAGATGGGGTGCACAAACTGGGGGTTGACATACGAGAACCCTTCAAAATCAGACTGGTCTATGTTAGCAATAACCAGCTGATCAGGCGGTGTTAAGACGGGCTGCCCTCGTGTGAAGAACTTGTCAAAGTTTTCTGCTCCTTTGCCGCACTGTGGAGAAAAGACAAAAAGAAGGAAAGGTCAGTCCACATGACAATGCACAGCAGCTCTCCGAGGGCCCTCTCTGGGGAGGGGCACGGTCCTGGGGAACTCAGGGCTGGTTAGGCAGGAGGAATCTTGGAAAACTTGCAGGCCTATTGGATTCAAAAGCCAGGCACAGCAGACAACGAGGAGTTACCCAACTGTAAATCTCGAAATACCCCGAACAGAAGCCCTGGGTGGGAATGCACGGCTGGCAATGAGGCAGCAACAAGGGGACAGCCCCTGTCCCCTCACGTCCACCTCACCGAGCAAGCGGAGCTGACAGCATGGAAGCCACGCACGCGGGGCTGTCAGTCACAGCTCCATGTTGAAAGGCCAGGACGTTGGCTGGGGCTGCAGGCAGTTACCCCTGGACCAAGCGAGGGGGGTGAGTTACTGCCGACATCTCGTTCTTTGCCGCAATATTTGCAATAAAAAACTGTGTTATCCTTGCCTTCCTACTGGGCTGCTCTAGCAACCCCAGCCCCTAAATTAAGCTTCAAGCGATATGAGGTAGGTGTGGCGGCAAGGCTGGGAGATTTGCACCTGGCCCAGCTAGGATTTAGCACACCTAGACACAGCTGGCCAGCGGGCAGGCTGGGCGACTGGAGCTCATTTGCAGGGTGGTCTCAGGCTGGAGGTGGTTTGCATGGCACCCTGGGGAGGCAGGGAAAGGCCTGCTGTCTCGGCCCTTCCTCTCTTCCAGGGTCCACTGGGGTGCTCTGTGCGCGTCGAGGATGCAGGCAGAACTGCTGCATTGGAGTCTCTGAGACACATAGCCGCTTAGGCAGCATGGCTTGGTAGCCTGACCCCAAAAGTGGGGAAGGAGTGTCTCTTCACTTTGTCAGCCACCCACAAGGGTAGTGGCGTGTTGAAGTCCCCGAAAGCCCAGGGTGATTCTGAAGCAGGAAGAGTTTCACTGAGGATCCTAAGAAAGATTTTCCAGATGTTGCCAATTATTGCCCTGGGACCTGCTGCTAGCACCACAGGGCCAATATGGATTCACGATGAGCTAGCACATGTTTCAAACTAACTAGGCATCCTTGGGTCTCTAACAGAGAATAGCTCTGGATTAACTGTGAAGTGGGGTCCACCCAGTTTGCTCATCTGTAACACTGGGAGAATCATCACACCTCCTGCCAAGGCTGTCATGAAGGTGAAATGTATGGGGTTTTCACAGAGCCCAGTAGAGGCGAGAGGCCGTGTGTGCTACTAGTGTTTTTATAAGGCAGTTGAGTTTCATGGGCTGTGCTTTCTCAGCTCCTTTTTCACACTTTATCTTCTAGGAGGTGTGCTTGAGAACCTTTTTTTTTTTTTTTTTTTTTGAGACAGAGTCTTGCTCTGTTGCCCAAACTGGAGTGCAGTGGCATGATCTCAGCTCACTGCAACCTCTGCCTCCTGGGTTCAAGTGATTCTCCTGCCTCAGACTCCTGAGTAGCTGGAATTACAGGCATGAGCCACCATGCCCGGCCATGAAGCTACTTTCATTACCCTTTTCCCACCTACTTTTCATCAAATAAAACCTGCTCCTAAGTACCTGTTGAGGTGGAAAGCATGTCATAAATTCAAAGTAAGGTTTTTATGACAAACAGCTTTCCTTTCTGGGTTTATTCATTTTTTGAGACAGGGTCTCACTCTGTCACCCAGGCTGGTGTTAGTGGTGTGAGCATGACCCACTGCAGCCTCAACCGCCTGAGCGCAATTGTTCCTCCCACCTCAGCCTCCTGAGTAGCTGGGACTGCAGGTGCGCACCACCACACCTGGCTATTTTTTGTATTGACAGGGTTTCACCATGTTGCTCAGCCTGGTCTCGAACTCCTGAGCTCAAGCAATCTGTTGGCCTTGGCCTCCCAAAGTGCTGGGCTGGGATGAGCCACAGGCGTGAGCCACTGCGCCCAGCCTCTGGGCTTATTTCCATTTTAATAAGCGACCACCTACTCTTCACCCAAGGAGATTTCACACCGCAATGAATGGTGCGTATGTGGGTGACGTGTGTGGTGGGGCAGAGGGGATGACAGGCAGGGGCTGTCTGTGTGCTTTCAAGTTACTCTGCGGAGCCATACAGACATGAGGCTTACTGTCACATCCGTCCTGCCTCTCATACGTGGGGTAGCAAAGCTTGCGCTCTCACGTCCCACGTGTCCATGGTATATTTCCTTGAAAGAGCACAAAGCACCTCAAAGCCAAGGTCAGCAGAGGCAGAATCTGCAATTCACATTACCCTATGTGTACAGGCCATTTGCAAACACCGAGAAAGGCTCTTTGAAAAATAAATAAGGGCACACTGTTTCTTCCTAGGAATTAATCGGGAGTCTGTACTTAGTTCATCAGTTAAACAAATAGAAATCAACTTTCCTTGGAATTCCACATTCAGATGCTGCTGTGATGATGACAACAGCCAAAGAAATAGCCCTCCTCTGGATATACCAGTGGTTCTCAACCAGGGATGATTCTGACCCCAGGGAACCCATTTTTGGTCGTCATGACTTGGGTGGGACGAGCCTGGCATCTAGAGGATAGAGGCCAGGGATGGTGTGGAACATCCTACAAGGCCTAGGACACTGCCCCCGCCCCAAAGAATGATTGGGGGAAAATGTCAACAGTTCTGCTGCCGAGAAACTCTGGGACATACCAAGACTATCATGTGAGGCTGAGTAGGTCCTAAGATCCGTGTGAGGGCAGACATGAAGCCAAAGTAGGGAATTAGGAATTAGCAGCCGTATGCAAGAGTGGACAGTGGAGAAGTGGCAGAAGTCCCAAGGCAAAAGCATTTGGAGCAAATGTGACAGCTCAGTGGAGCTGGCTTTGGGAACATCCTTTTGGAACCTGATTCATCAATACTCATTGCCTGTAAGAATTCAAGTGAACCTACAATCAGGGCTCCCAGAGGCTGGGATGTGTAGTCCTTTAATAAGAGATCATCTGTGCTTCTCTTGATACTCACTAACCATGCAAAGATGAGCAAGAAGGAATTTCTGGAAAAAATATAATAAAAGGACGTGAGTCCCCAAAAGGATGAGCAAAGCAAGCCAAGGTAAAATGTTCTCTCCCTTCTTCACAGGACACATTGGATGAATTTAGGGCTGCACAGATAGACTAGACGTCTAGGCTGGATGTCTGTCCTGCTCTAAATTTATCAATGTGTTCTGCAAAAAGAGTACACAGGTCTGACCCTTTCAGTCCCGTCTTTATGGCATTTTAGTCCCGTCTTTATGGCATTTACGAATCATCGTCCAATGGGACGTTTCCAAAAGCCGTGGCTTTACTGCCAAGGAAAAATAAAAAAGCAAACTAAAAGGAGATCTCCCAAGCTCTAAAAAGGGGACCACAGAAACCTTCCCACTGAGAAGCCTGGAGAGGGAGGCTTGAGGACATCCAATTCTAAAGCTGGTGTCCAGAGAAAGGTCACTCCTGAGGGTGCCCACTGCTTGAAAAGCTAAGTACTGTGATAAAATGGGACAAAAATCCCTTCCTGGTTAAGAGCTCGTGTTCTGCCTGTGCTGAGATCTGCAGAGCTAAGGGGGAAGTTGTGGAGCCTAGATCAACCCAGTTGCTGCCCTGCAGTCACACTGAGTGCAGCTATGTGGCTTCTGGTCTCAAAACTGCTCACTGCTGGAAACACCTTCCTCTTCTTTCTCACTGTAAATCTCTCTGGAATTTTCCTTGAACTCAAAGAGGGAGAAATCTCACTTTAACAAATGAAAGCTTTTCTTAAATTGGTTCTCTTCGGTGGAGAGACAAGAGGCAGGCACAGGCCGAGGGCGAAGAGTAGAAACTAAACCACTGAAGTTCAGCCACATCAACCATGGGACAGAAACGAGCCATGGGTGGATCTTAGCAAGCAAGGGAAGAAAGCCTGGAAGGGCTGCAGGATGACCTGAGGGTTAGGTCAGCTCCGAGACTCAAGAACTTTTTCTTCTTAGGGAGATCAAGCCACAAAGAAGTCTCCTTCGCCCCACCAAGAGCCAGGGGGCAGCACAGCTATTTCTACTCCAGACTCGGCGTGGTGAGAAATACCGTTTCCTTTTCTACCACAGAAGGTCTGCCAGTGTATTATAAATGAGCCTTCCACAGCTCTTAGCAAAAGTAGCCCTGGAAACAGACAATCTACTCTCAGTCAAATTGGAGAAGATCTTGAACTACTCGTTTTCCAAGATGTTAATGTGGAAAACCGCCCCCATCACCATCACCACCACCACCACTACCACCTCCTACTGAAAAAGACAATGAAAACCAGAGATTTCTGGATCCTTGGAGAAAGGAAAAGCAGTAGATTCAAGAAGCTACTGCATTCCTAATATGGAAGAGATTCTTCCTATTATCAATGTTCTAACCTTACTCATCACCATGAGCCTGATAGGCAATGGCCTCAGGTGCCATCTAGGAGCTGAGTAGGGAGCAAGAAAAAGCAAAGAGGCTAAAGGGCTGAGGGGCACCAAGCATGACTACACAAACGCCAAGTGAATGAGTACAAGATGACTGCAGGCAGCCTCCCGCCACTCCTCAGGGATGAGGCAGGCAGGTAATCACCACCGCCATTGGAAGGGCAGCCTCTACAGCAGTCTGTGACAGCAGGCAGGTGTGGTTGTCCATGGCCTCAGAGCTCTAGACCACCCAACAGCACATGGCCACTAAAAGTAACATTTATACCTTGTGAGTGCAACTGGGCTGGGTGTGCACCATCTCCACCTCCAAAGGTCACCCACATCTTTTGCCGACTGAGGCTTTTGCCCTCTGGGATGTGATGGGTACCACACGATGGGTATGGGACAGAGATAAAGGGGAAGAGGACATCAGGGGGTGGTCAGACCTAACCAGTCGGCGTGTGACTCTTGAACTCCCTGAGACCAGGTGATGTTGACACCCAAGGGAAAGTGGGGACACAGAGGGGAGAAGGATGTGGCCAGAGATCAAGAGCCCCAATGTATAGCTTTGGCAAACTCAATGCATCTGTCTGTGAAGGTAAGATG